AAATAGGCTTAGACCAACACCTTATACCACACACCACAATTCCACATTAAAGATGATACTATTTTAAAAATTAGAAGAAAAACAGATTGTATACCTCTCACAGCTATGAATGAGTTGTATTATTAACCCAATGAGAGATAGAGGCAATTACAGAAGCCTAAAATAGATAACTTTGATTACTTGAAACTGAAAAGCTTCTGCCCAGACAACATTAATGCTTCTAGGATAAAAAGAAGTGGTTGAATGGGAAGAAAATTCTTTGTATCACATTTCTCTGATAATACTTTAGTATCCAAGATATAGAAATAATAAATGAACATATCACTAATAGTCTTTTCCCAATAGATAAATATTTAAAGGACATAAGCAGTTTTCAAAAGAACTGCAAAATATTGACAAAAACATGAAAAAGTGCTCCAGATCACTAATAACAAGAGAAATGCAAATCAAAACAATCCTCAGGGTTCACTTCACATTCTGCACATTGGCAAAAATGACAAAAACATGTCAACAGTCAATGTTGGAGAGGTGGGAAGATTGGGACATCAATGCATTGTGGAGCTGTGAAGTGGTACAATGATTTTGGAAAGCAATTTGGAATTATGCAAATAAAGTGACTGAAATGTCTATATCCTTTGAACCAGAGACTCCATTACTAGGTTTATAAGCCATCAATAAGAGAAAAAAAAAGCCCCATATACTCCAAAATATTTACAGCAGCACTTTTTATGACAGCTTGGAATTTGGAAGCAAAGCAAATGTCCATCAATTGGGGAACAGCTAAACAAATTGTGGCATATAAATTTAATGAATTATTACTGTGCTGTAAGAAATTATGTGTGTGATGATTACAGAGAAGCATGCCATCTATATGAACTAATACAGAGTAAAGTAAGCAGAGCCAAAAAAACAATATGCACAGTGACTACAACAATGTAAATGGAAACGGCAGTCTCACACACACAAATCAAAAGTAAATGTAATAAAATTAGAAAGATCAAGTGGGACTTGAATGAAAAGAGATGAGAAGACACTGCCAAACTACCCCTTTGTAGAGGTAAGACGTCCACAGATGTTAAACATTGCACATGCTTTCTGACTTCTTCAGTGCATTTGATCAATTGTGCTTTTTCTCTCTAAAAAAAACTATTTGTCATACTAGATGGCTTTGGGGAGGGGATAAGAGAGGAAGAGGAATAGATGGGATATTGTGGTGACGTAAGAAAGAAAATATCAACAAAAAAACTTACATAAGTAAAACAGATATAGGGAAGTATGGAAGCATCCCAAGGTTAAAGAGAAGATAATAGTTGCAACTGGTTTATAGTTCTCCCTGGAGAAGAAAACAAAATTGGTAGAATTGATTTATGTGCTGAAGACATTAAGAAACCCTCTTATGAGCCACTTGATTATCTCATGTTTCAGTGTTCATGATGTAAGTAGCACCAATGTACTTGAAGCTTATGTACCAATATCTGTCACAAAAGATGAGGTACAGAAATTCTACAGAAAACTTGATAAACTCCTTCAGACCAAGGTAGCATTGCTATGATATCATTGACTTTGATGCAAAGGCTGGCATAGGAGAAGAGGTCAAAAAGTACTTTGAAAGTTCTGATTATGGTTTATCACATGAATGAGGGCAAAGGTTCATACGCTACTTAGAAACCTCATGTCTTTTTTTAAATCATAAATACTTTCATCTGAAGGCATTGGACATGGCCAGCACCAATACCATTTGGGTAACTAGGGTTCTACCCTAAGATACTAATAGTTACGGGAGAGACTGAAAACTAATAGGAAATGAAGGGAAGAGACAGACAGAGAAGAGAGAAAAGAGAGAAGAGAAAGGAGAGATGGAGAGAAAGAGAAAGAGACAGGGAGGAGTCAAACGTTCTATCAATTTATTTAGATACCTCTTTGTAATCAAAAGATGCTCATTTATGGATTTTTTTTTCTTCCTTCTTTTAGTAAAACTTCCTCCTGTAAAATCATGAATTCTCTCCTCAAAGTGGAGGATGGACTCTGTATTCTGAAGGTAGAGGGTGAGGAGGACAAAACCATAAATGCTTCCCCCAGGGCTGCAAGGGAAGAGAATGATAAATCTCCCTTCATTGTACTCAGACCCTTAAGAGAAATCCCTTCAAGTGTCTTCAGGGGCTGGATTAGATTCTCTCTCAGAGATATACGTTATTTATAGTTGTGTGAAATCAGCTATAAAAACATACACATTTATTTATTTATTTTTAGGCGGTCTGCAGCATGTGATGCTCTTTATTGAGATGCTCGAGGTGGCTGCAACGTACACTAAGGCCTTTTCTTATATAAAAAAATAGATAGGGCTTTAATTAATTTCTCTATGACAGCCACTGGGACCCAAATTCAAAACTTTTAGGCATAATATATAGCTTTATATAGTTTATGGTCTGTGGGGTTGATTTTTTTTAATTTTAAAGTTTTCTTTGCTCATAGATAGGTAAATCTAAGTAATGCAGCATGTGTGATACAGTTAAGAATACAGGTAAGTCCAGCAACCAGTGTATGGTGGAGAAAACTGCTCCCTAGAACCACAGTCCCAGTGGGAAGGCAATGATAAAGACATTTCTTTTATTCTTGAAGGAAACATGAGACTGTGAAGACTAAGGACTTTTTACAAAATTTATAACAAAATTCAAAATGAAATTTGGAGTGATATAAATAATTGAATTTGATGTTCACAAGTTTGGGTTGTGTTTGTTTGTTTTGCTTGTATACTGCAATCCAGTGCACAATGCCTGGCACATAGTAAGGGCTGAATAATGCTTGTTGATTTGCCAGTCAAAAAGATGGCTAGTATAATAATATTCATAAAGCACTTAACACAGTACCTTGTACATAGTGGATATCATACAAATTCTTATTCTCCTCCCTTCCCCTATATTTCAAGAAAGAAAATAGTATATACAAGAGGTTGGTCAGACATCAAAGACACCAAAGTCATCCACTACATCGTGGGCCATTACCAGCAATCCCGACTTTTGTCTTGCCACTGGACTTCCATGACTCTAGAAGAGAGAGTGAGCTGATGACTTTTCATAACTCTACCTCACTTAAATCCACCCCATTCACAAGTCAAGACATCACCCCATGACATAGTTTGAAAACTCTTTGAAAGTGAGAGACAAACAACAAACAATAGTACACTCAAGTTTAATATTTTTGCCTTTTTTCATTTCCCATGCAGCATGTCTTAGTGAATGGGATGCTTGACTTGGAGTCAGAAAGACCTGGTTTCAAAACCTACCTTACTAGTGATGTGGTCCTAGACAGGACAGTTTCTATCTATACATCTCAAATAATTATCTGTGAGTTATTAACTGAGACATAGTGGAAAGCGCACTCATGTTGGAGTCAAAAGAGCTGAGTTCAAATTCTGTCTCTTAATGACTGAGTTTTAAGATGCTTTGCTTTTAACATCTGAGTTATTCAACATTAATTCTTCACTGGACTGGGAATCCAATCAACTAGTTCTAGTACCAGCTTGGATACTATTTGTGTGACCTTGGGTAAGTCTTGAACTTCCAGTATCTGTTTTCACATTTTAAAAATGACCTAGCTGGATGAGATATCAAAGAACACTGCATTTGCAGCGTGGATCTGTGGAAAGTGTGCTGGATTTGAAATCAGAGGAGCCAGATTTGAATCCTGCTGCTGCCACTTACCTATCAATGAGACTTTGCGCAAGTCATTTAAACTCTCTGGATCTCAAATTCTTCACTCGTAAAATGAGAGGGACTGGACTCAATGTCCTCTAATGTCCCTTTTGGATCTAAAGCACTAATCCTACTATAACTCCCTCTGAAATTTCTAGACCTGAATGTTAGAAGTTGGGAATGGGGTGGGGACGGGGATGGGGAACAGGTAAGGTTAATTTCATTCAGCAGTCAAGTCACAATTATTTATTAACTGAACACTTTCAATGTGCTTGAGAATTTTAAAAAAGGGCAAAAATGAACCAAAAAAACCTCAGTCCTCACATTTAAGAAACTCACATTCTAATAGGAGAGAAGACATGCAAATATCTATGTACACACAAGATGTATACATTGCAAAAACAAAGGTAATCTCAGAAGGGCAGGATACTGTCTTCACGGGGCCTGGGAAGAGCCGAACGAATGTGCTTCGGCTTTCAGGTAAGAGTGTGCGCGCCTGGGGGGAGGGAGGGTGTGAATTATCAGATTTCTCAAGGCCTTATCAGGCAGGTCCAATTTATTCAATCTAATTTTTAGTCTCATAGCGCAAGGGTGCTTAGGGTGAGGGAATGAGGGAGTACTCTTGAGTTTTTCATTTCAAATCCAAAATGCACCGGAACCCTTCATTCTCCCACTCCATGCTGGGCCGAGAAGCTTCAGCTGGGTCTCCAAGAGAGAACTGCGATGGGGCAACAAACAAATAAATAAAAAGTACCTGTTCCACCAACTTCCAAAAACACAGCCAAAAGTCACGACTCATTTACAGGATCTGCAAATGTGGAGGATTCAGAATTAGCCTATAGTAGCACATCCTTCTCCAAAAAGGACAACCAACAGCAGACTTGATAATACCACAGGAGAGGGACTAACGCTTGGAAACAAGCTGAGGAAGGGGAGTGTGCTGGACTCCCATTGGTTGGTGAGCCACATTTCCCCTCTCTCCGCCGCCCTAACCCCTAGGCAAAGAGGGAAGGCGCCCTACCACGCTCGCTGCTGTTCCAGCTGCTTCAACCAGAGAACAGACCTCGCTGCGCTCCAGCAGCCTCCCATCTCTCCTGCTGCCCGACCATCTTCGGGATGAAGGGAAGGTTTGGAGGGAGGGCCGAGAAGCATTTGTGGAGGAAGTCCGAATCTGCCGTTCTCCCTGACTGCCTCCTCCCCCGCCACCATCTCCGGGGTCGAGTTTAGCCACGAGCGAACAGCTCCATTCTCCAGCCCAGTGGGGGCGAGCAATCTCAGTAGCGCTGCTCCAGCTCAGTAGGTTGGGCGGTTTCTACCTTTCTTGTTTTCTTCCCCCGCATGCTCCTCTTGCCCATTCCCACCATCCTACTCTCCCTGCCGGCTTCGTGCCTATGCAATTGAAAGCTTGAGTTTGGGTGCCCAGAGTCTGGGAGGCAAAGGAAGGCGAGGAGCGCACGATGGAGAGCAGCAATGTATCCACCCCTCCAACCCTCACCTTCACGTCGGGGCCTGAGGATTACAATAGTAGCCCCAGCACCCTCGAAGCTGCTGGGGATCAGGGCGACGTAGGGGAGAGTGCGGGCACCTTGCACAGCAAGGAGTCCCCCTTCTCCATTTTCACTGTGTTAATCTTGACGCTGTTAGTACTCCTCATTGTGGCCACTTTCCTCTGGAACCTGCTGGTCCTGGCCACCATCCTAAGGGTGCGCGCCTTCCACCGTGTACCCCACAATCTGGTGGCTTCGACTGCTGTATCCGACGTCCTTGTGGCGGCGCTGGTCATGCCCCTTAGCCTGGTGAGCGAGGTATCGACCGGGAAGCGATGGCGGCTGGGGCGCGCCCTGTGCCACGTCTGGATCTCTTTCGACGTCCTCTGCTGCACCGCCAGTATCTGGAACGTGGCGGCCATTGCGCTGGACCGCTACTGGACCATCACTCGCCACATCCAGTACACCCTGCGCACCCGCAGCCGCGCCTCCAACCTCATGATCGTTCTCACCTGGGCCCTGTCTGCTCTCATAGCCTTTGCTCCCTTGCTATTTGGCTGGGGTGAGGTGTATAGTGCTGAGCTCCAGCGCTGCCAGGTGAGCCAGGAGCCCTCCTACGCTGTTTTCTCCACGTGTGGCGCCTTCTACGTCCCCCTCGGAGTAGTACTTTTCGTCTACTGGAAGATCTACAAAGCAGCCAAATTTCGTATCGGGAGACGTCGAGTTGCAGTCTTGCCTCTGCCTGAGACAGTTCAGGTAAAGAGAAGGAAAAAGACGTTTGAGTCACCAGGGATTTTTGGAAGGTGTAGGATGGGAAAGCAATTGGCTTTTGGGAAGTGGAAAAAAGAGGGAGCTAGAGGAGATTTGCACACTGCACTGTACGAAATGAGAAAACACCAGCCTTCACATCTGGGCTGATTCAGAGGTGATGGAGGAAGGATTAAGCTATTTCTATAGTGGATGACTCTAGCTGTTTGCCAGGAGGCCTGGTGGTATTTGAGATCTCAGAAGAGTAGGTGCTTTATTTTTCACATTCTCTTCATTCTCTCCATTTCTGCCATCTCCAAATTCTGCAACTGGCCTCACTTTTTAGATTAATTTTTGCTTTAGTCCCCTCTCAACTACTCTTTTCCTTTAAACTATCTATCCCTTTTGGGCAGGGGAGGTATAGGTGTATGCCAGTGTCCTGGGCTAGCCACTTTTGTCTTCATGTGGGACAGTTCTTTCCTATCTTCCCTGAAACTGGAAGGTTAGAGCCAGGGCATGGTGTTCAGGGTGCACTGGTCATCTGTACTCTCATCCTCTCAGCTTTAAGAAGTATCTCCCCCTTTAAAAACCACACTCATCTCCAGGCTGTAACTCAAAGCAGTCCCCTTGGGGAGATTCAAAGTTTCTTATTGACAAGCCCCAACCTGAGTTTAAAATGATGTAGGTCAATGAAGATGATTCTTAACACACGCCTGAAACATGCCAGAGGAAAACTCTGTTATGAGGAAAAGGAGAAGAATTGGTTTGAAAGTTTTTATTTAGGAGTTTAAGGGCCAGGTGTGATGGAGGAGCAGGGAAGGGGAGGTCCAATGTAATGTAAATACTCTGATTTTTTATTCAGTTGCAGAGGATGTGGACCATAGGGGAAACCCAGTAGTATAATTGCTAAATGTTTGGAGGGGTGCCGTATTCAGAATTAATCATACTCTTCAAAAAGTCTCTTGGTATTGCTTGGGGCAGATATAGCTTTCCAGGGAGATAGTATAAGAAGCAAAGCTCCCATCCATCTCCCAAAGAAAACGCTAAGACTTGCTAAAGATTTGTATAGATTTTTATTTCTGATCTGAGAAGAATCATTTTGGATTCCAGCCTGGTAGGCAGAAGAGTAATTAATGTTGGTGAACCTGCACAGAGAAAACTGATTTTTAGAGACTGGGAGCTGTTTTTTTGGAACTGGACCTTGGCCAAAACAAAACCAAATCCGAAGTAGCAATGTGGTCTGAAAGAAAGAGGAGTCTGGTCCCCAGCTCCACTCTTAACTAACTAGCCATTTGAAATTCAGCAAATCACTGGAACTCTCTGGGCCTTATTTTTCTCATTTGTAAAATGGGCTTGGACCAGATAATTTTTTAGGTACTTTTTCAGATTAAATATTCAGGGAATATGGAACTGATGTCAAGAGATGCCTGAATTACTTTCTCTCCTGCATTCTTCCCACTCCACTTATCCCTCTAACATTTTATACTTAGCCTAAATACCTGCTCAACAAACTTGGAAATATGGCATTTCCCCACTTGTAGCTGTAGGGGTTTTATGCTGAACTGTAGCATAATAAATAGAGCACCATATCTGGAATGGAAAGACCCGAGTTCTGAGCCTGACTTAGACTGTGTGACCCTCTGTGAGCCTAAATATCTCAAAGTCTTGTGAAAAAAACCCCTTAGAAGTAGGGTGTTATAGTTCAGAGGACCTGGATTTGTAGTTGAGTGACCTTGAGCAAGTCACTTAATTTCTCTGGGCCTCAGTTTCCTCATCTGTAAAATGGGCTGCCAACATGTGCTTACCCAACTCACAGAGTTCTCAATGAGGATCGAATGAAAAAACATGTTGTCAGAGTTTTATAAACTTTCAAAGGCTATAGACACTTGAGCTATTACAAGAAGCAGAAATTTTTAACAAATAGGCAACATTATCCAAAATGGACAGGTAGGTGACACAGTGGATAGAGTGATGTCCTTAGAGTCAAGAGGACCCAAGTTCAAATCCAACCTCAGACACTAATGGTGTGACTCTGGATAAATCACTTAACCCTGTTTGCCTCAGTTTCCTCATCTGTAAAATGAGCTGCAGAAGTAAATGGCAAACCACTTCAGTATCTTTGTCAAGAAAATCCCAAATGGGGTCATGAAGAGTCAGACGTGACTAACTGACCAAACAACAACACAAATAAACATCCGCAATTACAAACATAACTGATCTATGTGATCTTAGGCAATTGACTTAGCCTGTCTAGGCCTCAGGCTCCTCACTGTCCATAAGAGTGGTAGCATGGCCACTGGATAAGTCCTGCCTCCATGCCTCATTTTCCTCATCTGCCTCAAAGATCCCTCTCATTCTTAGATCTCTGATCCTATGATGTTTGTGTGCCACTTTGCAGTTTTAATAGATAGCACTTTTCACATTATCTTATTTAATCTCATTACTCTGAGGGAGAGATGGAGGATAGATATTATTGTTTTCACTTTACAAATGAGGAAGCTGAGGCTCAAAGTGACTGAGACTTGACCAAAGCCACATACCTTAAATGGTGGCTCAGCTGGGAACTAGAGCCCAGGTCTCCCTACTGCAACTCCAATGCTCTTTCCACTGTGCTGTGAAAATCCTCTGATCCTGTCCCTATTTTCAGGTAGCATAAGGATCACTTGTAGTTCTAGACTGTATGGGATAATTAGGGAGAACTAGCACTTCTGGTGTGAGGGCTCACTGAGCTCTTTTCAGGGCTGTTCATCCACCTTGGATGTCCAGCTAATTCACCCAATCCTCACCTGTAGGTCCAAGAAGCTGTAGCATGTGTAATGGGCACACCCCAGTAAACTGTTTCAGCAGATGGGTTAAATCAGATCGAAGTTAACCGACAGGGCTCAAAATTTTAGGTAAGGGGGACGTTTACCCCAAGTGTGTGAAGACTTTCCTTCCTGCAGAATGGGCAGATAGAACAATTTGTTTGAACAGGGACTGTGGAGCGCTTAGAGCTTGGTCATTCATTGCATCCTGGGCCATAGCAGTCATCTTGATTTTTGTCTTGCCACTGGACTTTGATGACTCTGGAAGAGAGAAAAGCTGACAACTTTGTACAACTCTGCCTCACTTAATTCCAATTCACAATCAAGTCAAGAAAGAGATCACTCATGAAGTCTTTGGTCCTGTTTGAAAATGAAGAACAAACAACAACAGTTCTAGACTCAAATCTTCCTCTGCTAGCTAGCTGTTCTTAAGGGGTCTGCTATTTTGCTTTTGCTGATCTAAAGCTCTCTGAGGCAGACTGCTGTTGTGATTTTAAGGGCAGCGGCATGTTGGCCTGGGTGCCTTCCTATATTTCTCATGTTTTGGGTATTACCAAAAAGGAGTCTGGAATTTCTTGACTGATTTAACTAGTCACTAATACTCAGAATAAATAGGCAATTCTAGCTAGGAAAGCACGAGATTATCACCTCCTTTGAGGTTTTCTTTCAAATCTTAAGCCTCTAATATCAATCACTTCTGTGGGGTTATGGTCAACTCTGACATAAGCCAAAGGGGATGACAGGAAATATGTTCTTGTATTTCTTTCCCAATCATCTAAAGCTTTATTCTAGCTTGATTTTTGATGGAGGAATTGGGAGAGGGAGAGGAGGTGCAGCAGCAGTAATTATCACTGAGTTCAATTTGGAAAATATTCCTAAAATAGGGTATCATTCTTTAAAAGACAACTCTTTGGGGTTATAATTGTTTTAAGGACTTACTTCAAAAATGCTTCCCATGATCTTGCAACTTTTATTATTTAGAGGGAAAAATGACTCAATAAAAACTATCTTACTTGATTTTTAAAAAGACAAACACCACTGAAATTACCTTAGGTGTACAGATTTAGAGCTGGAAGAGACCTTAGAAAGCATCTAGCCCTATTCAATCATTTTGTAGATAAGGAAACTGAAGCCCAGAAAGTTGGAGTGGTTTGCTTAAAGTCAAACAATTAGTAGCTGGCCAGCTGGGATTCAAAGCCAGCACTTCTGACATCAGTTTCCCTCTCTTTCTATTATACTCAGCTGCCTCTAATCCTCAGAGAATTCTGAGCAAAGATAGAAGCTCCAATAGCTTGATGAGGGAGGAATGTCATCCAGCCAGGACATCACAGAGGCAAAAAGGGAAACTGGTCTACAGGGTCAGGACAGAAAGACTGATTTCCTTGCTCTCCAGACTCTGGGGAAGGAATCTAAAGGCTTTTCACTATCACCACTTCAGGGAGAGGGGAAAAAAAGATGACCTTAAGAGGGAGAAGGAGGTAAGAGTGGGCAAGGGGGGAAAGAAAGGGGGAATTACATTTCATGGCTCTCTTTCCTCTAAGCTGTCTTTTGGTGAGCCCCCCAGACACTACAAATTATTAATAATCAGGGTCCTTGGGGAGCCATTGGAATATTCTTTAGGGAGCTCTCCCCTGTTGTTCATTTGATTTTTCTAGTCCTAGATGCTAGCTTGTAGGGGAGATTTTAAAGAATTTTTAATCTTAAATCTTTCACTTATAGTCCATGTCTTTCAAAGAAAGTTTGTGTAAACACAACAAAATGAAGTAAGAAAGAAGAAAAGGTAGTTATCCTCAAAATACAGGTCTAAAATTTGTGTTTCATCCAAATTACAGGATCTGGATGTCTTGCTTAAATCATCCAGACAATTCCTTCCATAGGCATTTTATTTTATGTCTATATAATAACCAAACTGGTTCAAGTAGGGCCAGTGGTGGTAATCTTGACAAAGCAACCAAACTCTTCTTTGATTAAAACTAATTGAAAATTTCACTTCTTTGCTCATTGTATTGTTATGGAGAGACAGCCAGTCTGTGTCTCTATGTGTATGTATATGTATATCTTTTTGTTTTTGGTTATTGACCTCTCTTCTGGGGCTTGCTTTTGACGTGCACTTCTGGGGGAACATTGTAGAAGGTGCTCAATCCTTTCATCTCCCCCCACTTCTAGAAGGGAAGAGAGAACACAATCCCTGCTAGGTGTCTTCAT